GCGGGCTCAGGCAATCCACTCACCTCAGCCTCCCAAAGGCGAGGGATTACAGGCTGAGCCACCAAGCCCGGCTGGAATGTATGTTAAACAAAAACACCTTAGAATGCCAAAAACATTCTATCAGTTTGTTAACAAATGACGTTGCAAAGGGGAAACAGCCTATCTATCCTAGCAAAAAAGAAGTTTCTTTATTTCCAAAATAACAATACCTTAACATAAAATTGGCATGTTCAAACAACATATAACTTTCATGTGAAACATTTAATAAGGCGAGTTGTACAATATGTCTTATGTGTTTTTGCTACATTAATATATATTATCTTGAAAAATTGCCAATGCAATCCACTTTAAATGGTAAGTAGAAATTTATATCTCAGAGGTACCATCTTAGATACCAATCTAAAAAAATTACATAGCATTCACTGCAAATTCCACAATATAATGATGTGTTCCCATTAATCCCTTTGTTATCTACAGAAATGAACTCATACTTAGTCCCAGAACACAGCATTGAGATTTTTCATGCTAAATCTAGGACCCAAAAAATCTTGCTATGTTATGTTACAGTATTATGTAATGAAGAAGAAAATAATAATTAAAATAATACATTTGAAAGTGACTTTTAAACTGTTAACCACATATATGTATACCTAAAGTAGAAAAGTTGAAGTTTTCTCCTTTGTGTTGAACACTGTTACCATTCAATTAATTATGCACATATGTATTCATTCATTCAGCAAGAATTTACTAAGCATATCTTATATATTGGATTCTATCATTTGTGAAAATATTAAGTATGAAAAATTATAATGAATGTAAATTTATCTTATTTGCAGTTAACATCATTTTTTAAAAATTAATTAATTCATTTTTGAGTTGGAGTCTCAGTCTGTCACCCAGGCTGGAGGGCAGTGGCACACTCCCCAGTCACCGCAACCTTGACCTGCTGGGCTCCTGTGATCCTTCCACCTCAGCCTTCCAAGTAGCCGGAACTACAGGCGTGCCCTACCATGCCCAGCTAATTTTTGATTTATTGTAGAGACAAGGTCTCACCAAGTTGCCCAGGTGGGTCTCGAACCCGCGGAATCAGGCAATCCACTAGACTCACCCTCCCAAAGTGCTGGGATTACAGGCTGAGCCACCGAGCCCAGCAGTTAACATCATTTAAAGGAGAATAATTTATAAGCCTCTTTTCTCCTTATTGCCTAGAATAGTAAAACAAAGAAAGCTTCATTTCCCTTTCTTAATTTCTACATACCGCCTTCTTTTGTATCCACAGTTTCTGTAAGTCAGAAAGTAATAGTGTAGAATTGCTAAAACAAAAAAAAAGTGCTGTTCTGACTCCATTCCAGAAGTTTTAAGCTGGGTGCAGTGGAATCCACCTGTAGTTCCAGCTATTCAAGAGGCTGAAAAGTTTGATACCATCCTGGGCAACATAAAGAGATCTTGCCTTTAAAAAAACAGTTTTGAGCCGGGCTCGGTGGCTCAGCCTGTAATCCCGCGCCTTTGGGAGGCTGAGGTGAGTGAATTGCCTGAGCCCGGGGGTTCCAGACCCGTCTGGGCAGCGAGACCTCATCTCTACAATAAATCAAAAATCAGCCGGGCGTGGTAGCGCGCGTCTGTAATTCCGGCTACTCGGAAGGCTGAGGTGGAAGGATCGCCAGAGCCCAGTGGGTAGAGGCTGCAGTGGCCGGGAGCGGCCACTGCACTCCAGTCTGGGCAACGGAGTGAAACTTCAACTCAAAAAAAAAAAAGTTTTGAAATGCCCAGGGTCATGACAGATAAATTAAAATATTTGACTCCCTTAACTTTTATTAGATACACTACTCTCAAATATGGTATTTATTTATTTGCTAAGTATATTTGGCTTCTAAAAGAATAAAAAAATAAATCCAAGTTGAATGGACTTTGAATGATAAGTGTATTTTTGAGCACACAAATGTTTCTGACATAAAATTACTTATCTTCCTTCTTTGTAAAACATATCAATAAAAACCAAATGAAAAGTTGTCAAGTCCCATACCCAATAGTATGATCTTTTTTCTATCCGTACAAATAGATGTTACGAGACATGCTAATAATTTCTGTATACTTACAAAACACTGCTGTGGAGCAATTAGCTATGTATTAGAGTGTCATTCTCAAAGAAAACTACTTCATCAAAATGGTGTTCATAAAAAGTATAGGCTAGATAATATGCTGCATTTTATCAAATGGTATATTATATTCAAGATTCAAATAAATTGCCCTCTCTATCACAAAGTCTTCTCTGATTTGCTCCTCCCCACTCAAATGTGCTCTCATGTTTTTTCTCTCTTTAGGTATGACAATGCCTTACACATATCTGTTGTTCAAGAAAAATTTAGCACTTTATTATTTTTATTTTATTTGTTTTTGTTTGTTATTTTTTTTTTTGTAGAGAAGGGAGTCTCGCTATGTTGCTCAGGCTGGTCTAAAACTCCTGGGCTCAAGCAATTTCTCTACCTTGGCCTCCCAAAGTGCTGAGATTAAAAGCATGAGCCACCACATCCAGCCAACTATTATTTTTAATTTTAGACCTCATTATTATTATTTGTGCAATTATTATTAATGCTATTTTTTTAGGTGTTAATTTTTATTCTTGTTTCTCAAAAATAAAATATAAGCTCCTTAAGGCCTAGGACAATCTTTAGTACTTTTATACTCCCAGAATTCTTAGCACAGGGGATACTGAGAAGGAGTGTTCAATTCAATTGATTCAGTGTTGCGAAAGACTCATCTGAGAAATATTTTAGAACACACAGTCATCAAAGGAATCTCCTGGTCAAAGGAATCAAATTCCATAAAATTTGCTTACCATGGCATTGATACTTGCATGATCCCCTTTCCTATTCCGAATCTGAATACAGGATATTGGCAAATTCAGTCCTACCCCAGTGGCCAGATTTCTCAAGTCAGCAGCATTGTACTCTCCACGCAACAGCAAACTGTTATTATCAGAACCAAGTCCCAGGGAGGCCCGATAGAGATAAGTCTGAGAAAGTCTCTCAACTGTAGTGACATCTATTGTGGCTGATGTGCAAGGATTTGATGCCATCTTCCTTCCATATCTCAGATCCTCTGGAGAGTGACAGCAGTTCTGAGAGCAACAACGTGGGCTTTGGCTCAGCTTGAGACACACAAAGACAAGTAAGCAACCCAGAAATAAAAAGGAAATACAGGCCAAGGCAATTACTAAATACAAGTTCTGGGCAGAAAGCTGCCCTCCTGGTTCCCAGACATCTTCAAAGTCAGGAAGGACCTGAGGGACTGAATTGCTCAACAGCACACCCAGAATGACAGAGGAAGAAAGTGGTGGGTCTCCATGGTCCTGAACCACAATCACCACTTTCTGCTTAACCGCATCGGTGGCAAGAACTAAGCGAGCAGTACGGAGCTCTCCCATATTGGCAGACATTCTGAAAAGGCTAGAGTCAGAAGCCTGAGAGATACGGTAGGAAAGCCAGGCATTGGAACCACTGTCTGCATCCTCTGCTACCACTTTTGTGACCAAGTGTCCAGTTCTTGCAGAGCGGGGCACAATTTCCACTGGGACAGAACCATTTCTGGGTAAGGGAAACAAGATGACTGGAGCATTATCATTCCTATCGACCACAAACAAGTTAACAGTCACTGTTGCACTTCTGGAAGGAATGCCACCATCCCGGCCTTCTACTTGGAAGCGAAACCCTCTGAGCTGCTCAAAGTCAAAGGAAGTTTTGGCAGTGATAGTCCCACTGGATGACTCCACTGCCACCAAGCTAGAGGCTGGTGGCCCTTCAGAGACAACATCCAACAATTCATAGCAGACAAGGCCATTCTTCCCCAGGTCTGGGTCCTGGGCAAACACACTGCCTAGAGAGGCCCCAGGGCCATTATTTTCAGCAACGAAAATTTCCTGTTGCGGTTGAGGAAAGCTGGGTGTATTGTCGTTCACATCAGCAACTGACACAGTGAGAGTCTTCTGGGTGCTGAGTGGGGGCAAGCCACCATCTAAGGCGGTGATCAGGACCTGGTATTCACCGATCTGCTCTCGGTCCAGGGGCCCATCAATCAACAGGCTGTAGTAGTTGTCAAAGGAAGCCTTCAGCTGAAAAGGGCCACCACTGGATATGCTACAAATGACCTTACCATTAGAACCAAGGTCTTCATCCTTGACATTAAAGAGAGCAATTGCTGTGCCAGGGGCAGCGTCCTCGGGTACTGGGGTGGAGAGAGACATGAAGTTTACCTCCGGGGCATGATCATTCACATCGGTCACCTCCACCAGCAGTTTAGCGGTGCTAGCTAAACCAAAGGCGCCTTCGTCCCTCGCCTCAACGTAGGCCTCCAGCAGCGTTTCAGGTGGACCCAGCGAAGCAACTACCCGCACCTCTCCACTTTGACGGTGCACGTGAAAGCGGTGTCGCAGCTCTGCTCGCGTGCTGTTGCTTAAGGAGTATCGGACTTCCCCATTGGGGCCTTCATCCGGATCGGAGGCTTGAACTCGGAACAACACGGTCCCGTTGGGGGCAGTCTCTGGGACCTGGGTGCGGTAGACAGAGTGCTCAAATACAGGCGCGTTGTCATTTGTGTCCACCACCACGATGGTGACTCGCGCGTCCCCGGAGCGCGCTGGCAGCCCGCCGTCCCGAGCCGTGAGCACCAGCAGGTGGGTGTCGCGCTGCTCGCGATCCAGCGCTTTCTCCAACACCAGCTCCGGGTATTCGCTGCCGTCGGCCCGCGACCCCACGTCCAGGCGAAAGTGCGGGCTGGGGCTCAGGCTGTAGCTTAGCGCCCCGTTGCTCCCCTCGTCGGCATCCTGGGCGTTCGGGAGGGTGAAGCGGGCTCCGGGCGTCAGGAACTCCGGGATGTGCAACTGTGCGTCGCCGGCAGGAAAGAGAGGGGAGTTGTCATTGGTGTCCAAGACGTGAACGCGCATCTTGTGCAGCTCCAGCGGGTCCTCGAGCACCAGGTCATAGGTCAAGACGCAGGCCACCTTGGCCCCGCACAGCCGCTCGCGGTCCGCCGGCTCTCGGACCACCAAGCTGCCGCTGGCCGGGTCCACCCCGAAGTAGAGCTCGCCGGGCCTGGAAAGGAGGCGAAAGTTCCGCAGGGACAGAGCGGCCGCGGGCAGCCCCAAGTCCGCGGCGACATTGCCTACGGCTGCGCCCCGCTCGGGC